GATTACTCCATGCACTGCCAGGAGCACCACAATGAAATGATGTTGTAAATAACAGAGGTTTGCTTTTTTTAACAATTCAGAAAGTCCCACTGAGACAAAATTGCTGTTTTTCTAGATTAATTTGAAGGCTGGGGTTGGAGGTAAACAGTTGTCAACCTTTAGGAAAGAATTCGTGCTTTCAATTAAGTTTTGCCTTCTGAGGAAAAGAAGACCACTGTCCCAATACATACTGTATGACAAGAACTACAGATTGGGTGGCTATTCCTAGTGTTAAAGTAGTACTTAGCAAATTGAAGATTCACTCATAGGGACATAAAACATTCACAAATGGTGCTATCCCATACTAGTTGGTAATCTGAAGATTACCAAAGAGAAAATGTTTACTATATATGCTTTAGTGTACCTTATAACTACCAACTTTCTTTTGCAATGAATAATAAGGAAAATCTTAAAAGCAAGACTCAACAATTTGTGACTTTTTATATTTTTGTTTAGAAAAGCAGAGATTTTCATTCTCATACACGGTTCAACAGTTTAATTTAAATAACTGAACTCAAGCAATGAAGCAGGTGGGCAATACATACAGTACTATACCTGGTGAGCACAATATTCATGATATAGAAAAGGCCTGTGATTTGTGTGTAACAGATGTAACAGATGTTTCTGTAATTTAGAGTTCTCATAGTAAGATGAGACTGTCACCCTGGCGTCACCTCTCTAGGATTTGCTGTGATGTTGGTGGAGGCAGTACAGCCTGGGTCTTGAGAGATACAAAAAGAACACAAGTGGAGTCACCTGTATAAAGAAAGGCAAATCAATAAAATCTGAAATGGCTTTAAAAAAACATGGCAATTTATCTGTTAGATTTTACATACAGTACATTTAATACTAGTTATAGTATGTGTCTCTTGAAAGTGTAACTGATGGTTTAAAGAGCAACTTACTCAACTCCTTACTGCAAGAATTATAGTATTGTACATGCTTGCTAGTGCTAAGCTTAGTGTACAATAGTTATATGCTGATTTGGTCTTTTTTCATGAGACAACTCAAACTTTAGTGACTATTTTTGTCTTTTAATGAAATAAGTAACCGTCTGTTGTGTAAGTACTGTATGTAGAAAATGACAGTTGTTTTTTTTCCTGACATACAGGCAACATACTGTAGGCAAACACATAAGCACAGGGATTGTTTTCAGCTGATGCCTGTTGAGCATTATATGAGCATATATAAGGGAATACAGTAGTCAAGATGAGAACTTATATAGGCATGAGCAAGTATCTCTGCACTTTTCTTATCCAAGCACCGTCTCATATTCTCAAGTGATAAAAAGCTGTAAGACCCAGCCAGCAGTGCAGCAAAGTGGTCTTATTATAATAATAATAATTGCTTACACTTATATAGCGCTTCTTCTGGACACTCCACTCAAAGCGCTTTACAGGTAAAGGGGACTCCCCTCCACCACCACCAATGTGCAGCATCCACCTGGATGATGCGACGGCAGCCATAGTGCGCCAGAACGCTCACCACACATCAGCTATCAGTGGGGAGGAGAGCAGAGTAATGAAGCCAATTCACAGATGGGGATTATTAGGAGGCCATGATTGGTAAGGGCCAATGGGAAATTTGGCCAGTACGGCGTGGTTACACCCCTACTCTTTTCGAGAAACACCCTGGGATTTGTAATGACCACAGAGTCAGGACCTCGGTTTTACGTCTCATCTGAAGGACAGCACCTGTTTACAGTATAGTGTCCCCGTCACTATACTGGGGCATTAGGACCCACATGGACCGCAGGGTGAGCACCCCCTGCTGGCCCCACTAACACCTCTTCCAGCAGCAACCTTAGTTTTTCCCAGGAGGTCTCCCATCCAGGTACTGACCAGGCTCACACCCTGGGTGGGACATAGCTGTTGTTGCAAAGTACGTCACTCACATCACTTCAGTAAAATGCCAAGTTTTGTAAATGACTGGCAATGTAAGTTGTGTGGGACAAAAGTGTCAGAAAAAGAACAAATAATAATAAAATGGAGGTCAAACAAAAGGGTGTTGTTCAGAATGGCACCCAACACAACTGAGACAGAAAGATCACATTTATGCTAAGGTTCACCCTAGAAGAGGTAGATTTTTAGCCTTCAGTAATGCTGCATCTTATATATTATATCTCTTCTCTATTGGCTTTAGTACCAACCCATTAGCATCCACGGATAACTGGATTTCTGTTTGAAATGCATAGGACAGACACCGCCACTTCAGATTACAGATTTGTGTTCTATTAGTAGAGATGTGCAAGTGTTGTTTATACTTGGACATGGGTCCATGACAGACCCCTGAATTAATAACTACCCTGTTATACTATTATACTGCAACATTGATACCACAGCAGATACACAAACAAAAAACACTGCAGTCATAATTTAATGTACCCTAATGTTCTAAAGTCCTGCTCTATTTAGAAATAACTGACAAATAAAGTCATTCATAAAATTAACATTAAAAAAGCCACTACCATAACTAAAAGGCAGTATGCAAGTTAGCAAGAAAGATACAGTAGGTGGTACTCAACATCACCTGTGGTGTTCCTTGACATTTATTAATTGATCATTTTTACATTCAGTACCGTTATTCACATACAGTAGGTACAGTAACTAAAATGCATAGATCCTACTATACTACAAATCCATAAAAGATTAGTAAAATACTTTTGCTGCCTAGCTGGTCATAAGAGAGTGAGAATATTCTCTGTTCATGCAATGGTATTCATCCATTCTTAGCTAAATGACCAACATTTTGAAACTGTTGAGTTCATCACCCTTTCCCTTTGTTACTGTGATGCAGAAATGGCAATTCAAGTGCAGACGTGCCAGAAGCATCTGAACAATAAATCTGCTTAAGAGGCACAAATGCTCTGCTCACTGTACAACGTTGATGAATCTGTTATTTTATAGCAGTAGCCCAGCATTTTCTATTACTGCTCAGACAAGCTGGCTCTGAGTCATTTTATTCCCATCTGCGTTTTATTGCTGTTTATGTAAGCCTTTGTACATAACATGCAAACGTCTGTGCTTAGCCTGGTTTATTTTGTAGTTCTCTTAGCTACTATAGTTCCTTGTACAACTTCACTTTCTTGTACAGTATGTTAAATGTACTATACTTATTAATTCAAACCCGTGTCTTAGTTTGTGACATTCAAAACATCCTTTCATTAGGATTGTTTCATGCCTCCAAAAGGTATTTCTAAATGTTGATATTTAAATGTTCATAATTAAGATAGTTTTTTATTTTTCCACATATAAAGAATTCTTAGATTTTGGGGCATGAAACAAAACCAATAATTTCAAAATTACAGGTATTTATATTTTACCTGCTTTCTTAATAATTTAGTAGATCTTTTAATTCCCAAGGATATGATTTAATATATAGTACATGTACTTTTGATATCACTCCAAAGAAAAATCCTTGTTTTCTCCTTTCTCTGAGCTATACTTATTAATATTATACTGATACTTCTGTTTTTATATATTTACATATTTCATATGGATTCAGAAGGATATTCATAGAAATATGGTGTTTATTTTACTGATAGGTTTGACAATATGACTTTTGCTTAAAGAGGAACTGCAGTCCCAATTTTTCATACTGGTTATAAAATCTCAATAACAAAATAAATTCATTGACAGTATAGAAAAAAATGACAAATTTCAAATTAAGCACAAAATCGTGACGTTACTGTATTTGAAATGACTGAATTGTGAAAGTACTGTAAGACAACATTTTGTGGCAAAACCAGGGGTTTGCCACAAAATGTTGTATTACATTACTTTCAAAGGCAAGAGCGAGAGTTCCCATGAAGTGTGACATGATGCGGCCCTTCCTGCTCACTAGTCACTGTACTGTAAATACTAATTTAATGAGGTGTAGGAGAGAATAAGCACAGGTTGTGCAGCAGATATTTCACCACAGAATGTATCCAACATGATCTGCATGCAGAGCTTCAATTTATTGGCAAAACGTTAAGTCGATCACAATATTTCTATTGGATTTAAAGAGATGTACTGTATTCATAAAGTTTCATGTTTACAATATAATAGGGCCGCTTCATATCACTGGAAGTTGTACTGCATACATTTGACTTTTATTGTGGTTTGAAATGCACTCATCAGTGAATATGCTCTAAGTGACTGAATTGATTGAGCTTGTGTGAAGTTTTATTATTAATGAAAATATTATCTAAAGGTAGAAAATAATTGTATGTACTTCATAAGAATACATCTTGTACCGCACTGTTTGACATTGATGCTGTCTCTTGAGAACCGAAATGACACCTATAGCCTAAATGCTTTCTTTATAAAACTCAGCATGCGTGTCCTACTGTAGCATGCCTCTGCCCCTAGACTGAAGCAGAACACCTTGACTGAGCTATGTGGGAACAGCTTTATTGTGTTCAAATAATAAAAATAATGATGTTATTGGTGCTACTGTACAGTAGCAACAGGCAAAGTACAAAATGTTCTCCACATATAAATTTTCATTGTGCAGGGAAATTACCATCAATAGTGACAAACTGACTCCTAAATGTGCATTAATCACTCCCCCAGACCAAAATAATGTCATGGCCATACACAGATCTTTTTTTGGGGGGGATTGTATAATCAGGAGAAAATGAAAAGTAAAAAAGGGGATGGCAGTAATTATATTCCCTAGGATGTTAATTCCCCATCTTTTATCTTTGACCAAAATGCAACCTATCAGACCTTTTTTGTATAATGCTGAATGTAAAAAAATACATTCTCTATATGACAGTGTTGTGTGCATACAGCTCATGACTAAAGTATTATTTCATTATACAGTAATTAAAACTAAAAAATGATTGATGTGGTGTTAATTATCATCAATAGGGAATCCATCCCTAGATTGGCCTTTCTTATAGCAAACTTGAAACAAAATATGTTAAATTAATAACTACATTGTCTACTTTCAGCCACAAATAAAGCAATCATCACTCTAATACCAATTACATTTCTTTAATTTCATGAGTACAAATGAAGACCTTTAGTGAGTGGACAGTATCTATGGCAACTGGCTCAAGAACAATTAACTCAACAATACAATGATGTTTATGATAATAATGTTTCACAAAAACACCTAGCAAAAATGATTAAAAAAGAAATTGTCATACAAGGTAATCACAGTGTGTCATGACAAGTTTGAGAAAAGGATTATAGAAAGAGTTGTTTACCACAAAACTAGATGCCCATGCATTATACTGTATATAAAAGGACAGTTTGTTTTTCTTTTGTGGGGATTAACATCAAATAATAAAATCTGGGGAAGCTAAACACAGATACTGTGTTGTACCAGTAAAATAAACTAATCAAAATCTAACCAAGTAGCTGTAAATGCTAGAAGAAAACTGTTAATGATTTTCTCCCAGCACTAACACAAAATTCTCCCAACGAGTTGGGAACACTCAAAAACTTGTGCCTGGCACAGTTTGTACATTTCTTTTCAGAGATCACTTTTCAGAGGACCAGAATGGTTTCCTCAGTCAGAGTACTTCATGTTGCCACATTGATCATGTAGGACAGCCAGTCCTGTAAAAACAGCAACCACTTTGGCGTTAAAGGCGTCTGCTGGCTTCTGCCCTGGTCTGAAGACATGAAGACTCCTTTCTTACTTCAAACGTGGTCTTTGTCTTCACAGTTGCTGAGGAATTCCTTGATCCCTGTAACCTGTAAATTGCATAAAAGTAATAAAAATTATAATTCAAATGCACAACAAGAGTTATAACAGAATGTCATTACAATTTATTTAAGCTGTTGTTACCTTTACTGTATCAATGTTATCAAAACAGTCAATTGCTGCCACGTACAAAAATGGGTTTGATAACGTTACGTTGCGTTTGAAGTTACGCAATTTTTGATGGTTAAAATGCACCACTCGTTTTCTTAAGACACCTTCCAGGGCTTCTCACTGGAAAACTAGGAGTTATAAATGCGTTAAATGATTCTGTGATGCAGTGCAGCTTAACATGTTAAGAGGCACTGTGAAATTGAGTCAAAGACCAATAGGATGTGTGATATCACAGCCCCTGCAGGGCCTGGGGATATAAATGTATGGTGCATTGGTAAAAAATACTGTATTCAACTCTTCTGTAAATATATCTCTCCTAACTCAGGCCGAGCTTCAGTCCTGACTAAAACTTTAAATTTGTACAGTTGACTTCTAGAAATTAAAAACAATATACTATTCTTTGTTGCTGTTGTACTGTTTTTGTACCTTTAGAGGTTTTGAAATCAGCCAATTCGTCTTCTTTTTAGAGCCTCTCAGTTTGGAAGTGCCAGCTGCTGATAGCCGCAACACTGCCTACGCTGCCCAGGAGGAAACAAGGGCTGAGACAGGCGAGCTCCACAGTGGAGAGTTAGTTGCAGTCACTGTAGTTGTGTCCTATAGTTAATACCACTTCAATGTATAAACAAGTAATTTTAAATATAACTTTGTAACCTAAAAACCACAAAGGGCAAGTGTCAGAACCACAGTCATATTTTCATTGTTATGCCATACTCCAGGAAACTGTCAGACCTATAGCAACAAACTTCTGCTTTCCTCAAAGGAGACAATCTGACACTTCTTTCTGTTCCATTTCAAATCTAACATGCAGTAATCATTCTGTCTGGTGCTGCTGTTTGACTTTCACTGAAATCTGTGGTAAGCATTTTCTACTTTCTGAAAATTTTGCACTTGAAAATCTTCCATATTGATACTTCCACACAGCTCATGTTTCATATAATCCTCCACTACTGTACAGTATGTATGTTTTTAATTTGTACCATTTATGGAATGCCTATGGATACAGTTACTGACATTTCTTTTCCTGCTGCAAAATGCATTTCCACAAAAAAACCCAGAAAAATCAAACACCTATGACTTTTAAAAGTGATAATCACTTTTATGACGTCTACAACAAGCCTTCGTGGAGATAAAGTTTCATTTTACTTTTTTTAGAGTTTGGTGGTGTCATTACTAGTCTTGTGGTAACAAATGTCTTTGCAATGAAAACAAATATAATATGTAGCATGTGGAATGTGTGTAGGTAATAGATGAAAACTGTTAATCACAGTAGAAAAAGTAGATCAATGTAAAAGTTTATGAGAAAACTGGGGAAGATAATTAACTGCACACACAATTTCAAGGAAAAGTAAAAAAATCAGCAGTATAATAGAATGCAATACATATGCATTTAGTTGTATTCATTAATAAGTAGAATTTATTAAAGTATGTTCTGTTCTTTTTAGGGTTTTCAGAATAATACACTATTTACTGTAGGTAAACATACAATTAAATTTCAATTTAAATATATTAGCTGAACTAAAAATCAGTGTCACTATAACCTCTCTTACTCAGTTTATATCAGTGGAATGCATTCATATTCAATTATTTTATTTGTTGATTAACTCCTTTTTAGCACTTCGAAAAGAATTACACATTTCAATAAACTTATTTTCCTGTGGATCAGTGTTTATAGCAGAAATACAGTACAGGTACAGTATATATGAAAGTTCATTTTCTCCATAATGGTAGTGTTTTTCCTTTTAAAAATAATATTGAGCCTAAAATATTAAACTTTTTTTATTTTAGAAAATTTAAAAAATAATCTATATTGCCAAGAAAAAGCTTGTGAAGTCCCTAGCTTGTGTCTTTTACTGTACTTTGATCCTAAACTATAATTAGATCTACATGAATGTCATATAAAAGTGATATTAGACATACTTTATAACACAAAAACATAAGGTTTATTTGTTTTATTTAACTGACAAAAGTTTTGAACAAACTTTAAATATCCACATGCATTTTACGTGAACATTAATATACAGTACAGTACCTAATGATACTTCCTTAAGCAACAATGATTTGAACTAAATATTTCCTGTAACTGTTTATCAGTCTCTTAACTCAATTTTTATGTATTTGGCTATATTATTGCTTACAGAACTGCTTTAGGTCTGTAACATTTGAGAGTTTCCTTCCATGAACAGCTTGCTTCAGGTCCTGCTGCAACATTAGAATGGGGTCTTCCAAAATACAAAATGTCTTCTTCTTCAGCCATTCTGTTGTAGATCTGTTTGTACCTTTAGGACCATTGTCTTGCTGCAATATTCACTTTTGGCTCATCTTCAGCTGACGAATGATCCAGAACTTGATGATACGATGCCAAAATCATTGCCGATGATGATAAACTGTCCAGATCCTGAGGCAGCATGTTATACTCCCACCACCATGCTTGACTGTCAGGAAGAAGTTCTACTTTTGGAAGGCAGTGTTTGGTTTTTGCTAAAAACAACATTTCTCACTGTGGTCGAAAAGTCAAACTTTTGAATTGTTTGTTCAAAGAACAATTCTTGTGTATCACACAGGTACTTTTTGGTGAATGTGAGATAGACAGCAATTTTCTTTGTAGAAATCAATGGTTTGTTCCTGGCTGTCCTCCAACATAAACTATTTTTATTCAGTCTTTTCCTGACGATTGAGACCTGAACACTCACATTAGCCACAGTGCGAGAGGCTTATAGAACCTTAGATGTTGCTCTGAATGTCTTTGACTTCCTGAATGTTTTTCTGGGTAGCTCTTGGAGAGATCTCGGCAAAATATATAAGTCTTAAATGTTTTCTATTGGGTAGGCAGTCTGAGGGTGGATACAGCCTTAAAAGTCCAGAAATGGTGTTTTAACACTCTCCAGACTGATAAACATGAACTATTTTTTTTCTGATGTCCTCTGAACTACCTTTTGATTGTGGCATTTGTGCTTCTGCTGAACTCTATGGTGAACCCCAAATCACAAAGTGTCTGACCATTATATAGGACAGGGCTAGTGGTTTCCCACTCGTTTTACCACCTGAATTAATTTACCATCTTAAACATGCTAACTAAACACGTGTACTGGTGTTTTAATTTATTTTTCAATTTTATACATGATTGCATCTTTAAAAAATTGGACTTGTAAACATAAACACTTGTAGTTTTATTAGAATACAGCTGTTAAGATTAAACAAGATTATCATGCTATGAAATTGTGATTCCAGTTATTACATTGGGAGATTAGAAAGTTTAGTTTTTCTCAGCACTATAAAAACAAAGCCCGATGCAAAATGTTAATGTTAATTGAGCTATAAATGCATATTACTGTAAGTAAAGAGATTTAAAATTGTAAGTACAGGCAGGGGTGGGGTTACTGGACATACCTACCTTCTGAAACTTGTTCCATTGATGACGTTGCATAAAAAAGAAATGTACATACATTAGGATCCGTGCAACAGAAATATAAGAGATTCATAAAGGGAATTTGTAGCAAAGGCCATGTATCCCAAGAAGTACAGAATGCTCATGACAATCATTAAAAAAGTACAATATGTAATTGTTTGTAGTTAGTATGGCGACATGTGATTAAAATTAACATATTTCTCAAATACAAAACTTATTCTGGAAAGCTAAATGTTTTTTCAAGATAAATCTGCTCTGCCTCATGTTTAAGAAGAGAAAGGCGTGCCTGAAGCCTCATTCAAGATACAGTAATACCTTCTTTTTCATGTTCTTACAACTTCACTTGTTGCTAAACTACCAAAAGAGCAAGATGCGTCCTCCTCTTGTCCTGATGCCCTTATGTTCTAAGCATCATTACTACAGTATTTGTTTGTGCAGCAGAATGATTAGCAAATGAAACACCACAGAAATACCACTAACATACAGTACCATAAAAGGGATAATGTGTGTCTATGCATGGTAAAACTAAGGAATAGTGAAACCGGATGGGGAGTGTGTATAACTTTGTGATATAAATAGCACAGTATGGGAAAAAGTGGGATAGTACTGTGGCACAAAACTAGGCGGAGAATCTAGAGAAAAGCTGAAGAGCTGCAGATAAGACCACGAAAACGGGAGGATGCAATCTGTGCATAATGTACAGAAATAATAGGAATACCTACCTCATGCAGTTCAATCCCGAAGTTACATAAAAAGTCTGATATATTCAATAAACAAATGTACACATAATTCATGTCAAGGTGCAGTCAAAATGAAATCTAAAGCACATTACTTTAAGTTTAAATGATACTGTACATATTGAAGTGGGAATCGTAAGGATGGCTAAATGATCAGAGAGAAAATTAAGCTGCACAAGCAAAAATATTTGCGAGAGTTCTAAATGTTTCATTGTGCGTCTTTACAGCAAAAAAATACTCCTACTATACTATCATTAATTAATTATCATTATTATTAACAATTATAATGATGATGATTATAATGATGATAATCTTCTTACACTTAATAAATGCTTTTTTGGACACTCCACTCAAACTACTGTACTGTAGTTACTGTACTACTGTACTGTAGGTCATTTTATATTGGCATATTTCACTTGTGAGACAGTGATCTGGATCACATGAGCTTTTGACATATTATTAAATTTCCAGGGCTTACACTTTTCATGGAAAAGTACATAAGAACAAAAATATCAAGAAGAATACCTTTAAGGTAACATCAATTAATGAACCTGATTTCAGGAAAAGAAAAGTTTACAATATGATGTAAAAGACTGAGCTTCACATTTATTATTTTAAAGAAATGAACAAAAAGAAATGGCTTCTCGACCATAAATTAAACCAGACTTCCTAATTACATATTTCTGCATGTTTATTATAGAAACATAAATATTTTTGTCTTTGATTGATTATTTGATAAACATTAAAGTATGATAATTTAAACAAAACTGAATCACACGTTAAAAGCTTTAAACTAAATCTTCTACAAGATAGAGTGTTGTAAAGCTGTTAAACTGTAGTTCTCTCTCTACAGTTCTCAAAACCTAGGTCTGTCCTTGAAGTTTTAGCTTTTTATTAGAATAATATTGTATTTTTACAAATTACTTCCAGTTTATGTACTTAATTTGTATTCCAGAATTAAAAGGAAGTACTTATCTAAAAAACTTAAGCTGTAGATGCATTTAAATTAAGGGTTTCATTCACAAAATGTTGATATGTGATAAGGTATAATTTTGCAAAAAGGTCATAAAGTGAATTGTGTCTGTGAAGTCTTTAAAATCTTATTCTGGCACTAGGAAAGGAAGAAATAGCACAATAAGGTATACAAGTTACAGTCAAGATCAAAAGAGAAGACATAACATGCATAATACAACCAGCAAGGACAGTTTCATTAATTTGCCATTTGGATACATCTCAGCTTTTTGTTGTAAGTCAGATTTTAAGAGCCAGATATCTGGCATAGGTTTGGTGTCAGTGTTTTAACATATGCCACAGATCTTTATAGCCAGAAGGGGTCTCTGTTACAAAACAGATACAAAATTTGAAACCTTTCAGAACCCTGCAAAAAAAAAGAGGAACCATTTTGGACTCAGTCTCAGGACTTCTAAAGACAGAGCTCCTAATGAAAAGATCATCATTTTAGATATGAATTTTAATATACTGTATATGGAAATACAGTCATACCTTTTTAAACTAGAGGTGTACATGCAACAACTTTGTTATTTCTGGTTACTGTAGCTGAAATATTGTCATACTTTAGCCGTTAAGAAGATGTTTTTAATTATTCTGTGTCATTGCTAAAAATGTCCCCTGGACTTTATTAAGATGCCTGATGATTTTTGCCTACAGTCTGTGAATGTATAAATGATAGTTTAGAGAAGAAGAAACCAACACCCAGAGGATGAAGGAAATTGTACAGTCGCATGCCTTCGGCCTCTTTCCATGTATCCACAGAGAAAAAAAATGATATAATACAAATAATTACAATTAAAGGAAACACAACTTTCCCATTTATGTATGAATAAACAAGAATACTACAAATTAAGATTTGTGTACATTTTTCTGTGTTGCATTCTTTTTTCTGGTTACGCAGCATTAGCAATAAAAACTGAATATGGTTAGGCCAACTGTTTGAATTAAGAATACCACACTCAGCCGAATTCAGCCACTCCGAACCTGAAAAATTATTTTAAAAAGGACAAAGTTCAGAAGAACACAGGTGAGGAGACTGCCCTAGCCTATTTTGGATCAAATGGAAAAAAAACAAAATTTAAAGGCTCTCCAAACTTAGAAAGGTTAGGACTGTTAGGGAAAGGAAGCTAGAAAATCCTGGGCATCAGAAACAAAGCCCGCTCCAAACTGCACAGGAAAGAGCGAACTGAAACATGAAAAAGGTGTACTCACTCGCCAGAATGACCATGTCCATTCCCCAGAATATACTCATGATCCATCCCACCATGACAATGGCGGTAAGAATCTGAATGAAGGCCGCGGCAATGTTCAGCCAGAAAACACAGCATACGTGTCGGTCAGGCAAATCCGTCCGCGCCCCGCACAACACCGTGAATGCTGACACAAAGGTACCTGCGCAGAGAGACACAGAAATTACCAATTATTTCAGAAAACCATTTCATCTACAGCATCTGTAGCCTATACTGTAGTTGAAATCATCCACATTTAAAGGTCCTCAAGCTTCTTTTAACACACAAGGTAAGACAATAATATGAAAGGGCTGTGAAGTGATACCATAAAGTATATGAACATATTAATAATAATCATTTCTTTTATTTGTTGAGTGGTTTGCATCCAAACAGAACCCAAAGTGCTTTACTTGGAAGAGATATCTTGCTTCATCGGACACTGAAGTGCATCCTGGGTGACACATGACAGGCACAATGTGTCAGGAGACCACCGCACAGCAGGTTGACAAGGAAGAGAGTGACAACTTCATCAGTTGCATCACAGGGAAGGCATGAATGAATTACACAGACAATACCCTGACAGTAAATTAATTTCATGAATTGACTGTATCTTTAAATCCAAAGTCAGGTGTTTCTAGTTACATGTACATTCTATTTTTGATGGTGCAGCTAATTTGCACATTCACAATTTCGAACTGTTCTACTGAAATACTGTATGCAAATTAAATGTAATGTACCCACAGGGGTATGTGGTGGTGAGCGTTAATGCTTCAGAGTTCCTGGCTTCAGTTCAGTACAAGGGCATTCTTCCTGTTTTCGTATGTTTTTTTTCCACGCACTCCAGCTTCCTACAGCCTTCCCAAGATATATTGGCTGTGTAATTTCACGTCTTTAAATGATCTCTGTGTTTGTCTTTTGGAACACAACCCTTTCACCCTCTAGGACTTCTGGGACTACTCCAGGGTACCTCATTGCTTACCAAGAATGAGCATCTTTCTGATAATGGCTGGATATGGTAGGTGTAATTCAGAGATCCAACTTTAGAATAAAACAACATTACAATGGAAAACACAAATATGAACGTCATACTTTTGTCATAATATGGGGGCAATCAACATTATTTCTTATCGAATGCATTCAGTAAATTACTGGCTGTAACAATAGCAGAATATTAATCATGATAACTGCAGCCGGCCAACTTGTCACCTTCATTTTTTCATGTTTTAAGTGGTCTTTTATTGTCTTAAGTTCCTGTATTCTTCTCTCAGGGTTGTACACACTCAGCTTTTCACTAATCAGGCACTGGAGTATTGTATCAGATTCTTAGTCTTTCTTTCACGAGTCAATATTCACTAGCACCATCACTATCTTCATTAATCACTAACACAACCACTCAAATACTGTAGCTCTGCTCTTTTTTCAACCCTACTCTGTGTCTCTGTAAGTGTACGCTCTACACCAGGGGTCATCACCCTTTCAGAAGGGTTCAAGGCACATTTCTTGTTGCTGGATCTGCCTTGGCCCCTTTCAGAACAGCAACAAGAAAGTCACTGTTTTCACCACTGTAGTCATCACATTTTTAAGCACAAAATTTGAAATTTTGGCACAAAGATTTCCCAGATCAATAATAAAGTAAAAAATTACTTTTCTCTTCCATGACTCTGCTTTATCATCCTTTTATGTTTTTTCTGGACTGTTGATAAACAATCATTAACCCAGACACTTTACGATTGCTTTGATCACCGACTCTGGACCCTCCTCCATCTCAGCCAAACATCTTTTTGCTTTGAAGCTGGAAATGTTGGCAATAACATAACATAACATCACTTTATTAGCCCTGTACAATTTCTTGCATTAGGAATTCATCTTTTCACATACCCCAGCTTGCTCTCCATGAGACACAGACACACAGACAGGGAGAGAGAAGCTTGGGGTCAGAGTGCAGGGTCAGTCATTGTACAGAACCTCTGGAGAAGATGGGGTTAAGGGCCTTGCTCAGGGGCCCAACAAAGTAGGATTCCTCTGCCGGCTGCAGGATTTGAACCGGCAACCTTCCAGCCACAGGCACAGAGCTACCACTCCACCCGGTGTATAGCCAGGTGTTACCCATTGTATCTACTGTAGATTCTTAAAGACACTTCTCTGTTCACCTATTGCTGTAACAATATCAAAGCTACAAAATATCAAGAAATGTGTTAAAAAAACTAGAAGACTTAATGAGTGGAAGCTTTTATTGTAGCAAGAAATACAGAAAGAACATTAAAAACATTTTGCAAAGTTTGTTAAGCTATTTCTGAAAAAAGGTAGTCTGTTGTTAGGAACTACTGACTTGAATCAAGGTGTAGTGTATTTCACACCTGCCATTGTTGCAGGGAGAACATCTTATGTCATGTACAAGGAGTATATGTTGAATAGCCAAAACATATCTGGAATGATTTCAGCAGCTGGTTTCAAAATCCAAAAAGGAAAGAGGTTGATGCAAAAGATATTAAAGTAATTCGACTGTCACCTTTGCCAAAACATGAAGTTATATTAAGAAGTTATAGCATACATGTTATTTCTCACTCTTTGCAGAATGTTATTTAATACTTTCTTGATTTGTTGTAAAGGTGAATTCTTAATTTGACTGGAATTTCTAAACAAACCTGGGTTTTGTGTCAAGACTTTTGTTTATTGCCTTTGCAATTATACTATAAAAGTTGAAAATGGAAAAAAAAATACTATATACTATATACGTAGACTGATCACATAGCCTCTTTTAATTTTAAACTTTTTAATTACAATTTTATAAAGCCCAATGCCTGCTACTGACTGTAGCTTTGATTATCTGTGTAGTATCTGTCTAGCAAATTCTGAAGCATGATTTGAACAACACAGCAAGTGTGAACATTATTATATAGTAGTTGTTACAATTAGAAGACTACAACTGGCAACAGAGAACCCCTGGATTTCAGCAAATGTTTAAACTGGGAACTATACATACAGTACTGTATAGATGTTATGAGCCAACCTCTTGCATTTTTTGCCTAAAGTTCTCTCTTAGTCAGATATACCCCACATCTTTAAATTGGCCCTTTATATACAGTATACTCCAAGGCTTACGATAAATTATTTTTTCCAGATCATTTGGTTTCAATTGATGCCTGTGGGTGGTTGAAAGCTATTTCAATTTAGAAAGACCAAAGGCTGCACATTGATTACAAATATTTTAGGAAAAATTTTCTAACATCCCTTCTATAATAAAAGGCAATCATCACACACACAATAAAGGCAGGAAAACCCCCAACAAATACTAAACACCAAAGAAAATGTGGAATGATACAAGAAAATAAATCAGTGTCACCACAGAATGTGTCCTACCACCATACTACCATGCATGACAGAGATGCACTACAGAGGGCTGTGGAAATGGCACAGAGCATCATAGGTTGCAATTTACCATCAATTGGTGAGATCCACACCAACCGCTGCTGCAATAAAGCCCTGATACATCATTCAGGATCCCAACCATCCTGAACACAAACTGTTCTCCCCCCTGCCCTCTGGCAAGCGGCAAGGGCCTCAGACTCAATACACATCTGAACTCTGCAGTTTTTACATAGTCTACCCTTTTTTTTCCTCAGTCTCACTACTACATATTTATTTTTCCACAATATATTTATTGTTCCTGTTGCCTACATTGTGTAGTAGTACCCACCTGAACTACATTGTGTAGTGTTGTCTGTTGTACTGTGTATGTCCAGGGAGATAAGCGCAATTAAGAATTCCAAAGTAGGTGTACATATGCCAATAAACTACTCTACTACGCTACTCTACCTTAAGAATTTGGAGCACTTTGAAAGCTGTATTGCTTTGACATAATGTCATGATTAACAACCATAGAGCACATTTGCAAAACTAAGTTCTGTTGATGTCTTTTAATCAGCTCATATTTTATCAACTGACTTAGCGGTTAGTTGATAAAATACGTGGGAGTTATCCCAGTTAACTTATTAGCTGCTGAGGTCAACTGGTGTCACCATGGGCAAGTAAGCCTCATCAAGGTGTGATGACTGCTGAAGAGCAAAGCCAGGGCACGTATTAGAAATATCTTTAACTCTGACAGTTTCAAAGGTGATGTTGAGACCAGGGGAGCCTCAGAATAAGATACAAATCCTGGAACCAAAATTAAAGGTTATTGCGATCTTATGAAAAAGACTGTAAAACAAACACATTACAACAACAAAATCTGGTTGTGTTTTGAATACATATTCCTCTTTAAAATGTGGCAAGGTGTTCTTACGAAGCCATCAGTTTACAGAACTGTTTATAAAACTCGTGGTACAATAAGTCACTTCTGGAGACGTTACAATGGAAAACAGGTGGTTTGTAACCCTAACCGCCACTGACTGACAGCAGTGCCAACTTCACTAGAGACCACAACATCCAAGGACTGAAAGCTTGTGAATGTTTGGTATACTTGGTGAGAAGCTTGCCTCAACCCGCTTGGTTAATGCGTGGCCTCCTGGCTATAGGACGAAGAGGCTTGAACCCCATTTAGACTGAGAGAACCAAGGAAAAGCTGCAAGGGATGCTTGAGGCGAAGGCAAAGGGGGGCGCCTGAGTTCATTTTATGTAGCTAGTTCAGTGGTGATCATGATAAGGTGCAGCTCATCCCTCTGGAACTTCAGTTAATAACTTCCATTTAGCTCTTGCTTTTATTTATTTAGACAAGGCCAATGCTTTTAGAGTAATTAAAATCTGTAATGTCTCAACATTTCAGGGAAGTAGTCTGGTTGTCTATATAAGAGATATACTGTATATGTGTCTAGTAGATAACATAAACAATGTACTCTTTAGTTCTTGATAGGCTTAGTATTTACTGACTAAATACTAAAGTATTACATCCATAATGCATTTGAAATTTTTCAGAAAACATGAGCACCTCTATTTTTTCAAAAGTAAAATTAACCCACTTTTCCTAATTCATATCATTTAGTCATTTAAGGCAGTTTCAATTTATTGATAATGCACCAAAAACATAACAACCTCTTAATTGACAGTTACCTCTTTAGTTGGTGGTGCTCCCCTTACTTCTGGTCAGACAAAAAATGTAATTGGCAGGTGTCATTTTGGAAAAAGCAATTAATTTGATAAAGTTTCAATACAACACTTGAAGTAACA